TGCTCTGTTCTATGTGAGGGCTTCATTTACTACCACGGTCCATGGCAATTCTCATTTCCAATAAGCTTACTGTCAGAAGGAGGCTCCACTGGTTCCCTATTCAGGACCCCCACTTGCTAGTCTGACAAGGGGCTCTTTCTTAATGAGGCACAGCAGTTTGCTAGCCTTCCACTCCTTAAGCAAATATTTAGCTCTTTAAGATCTGCTGATAAGGCCAACAATGACAAAGGAGAAGTAAAGGAGCTTAATTCCAACAGTTACCTTTTTCCTTTCTCATTTAGAACTACATGGGGGACCAAATTCAATGGAGCAGGCATTTTAAAGGTAACTGAATCTAAACTTCAAAAAAATCAATTTCCTGATTAACACACATGAAGACAGATTTATTATTTCTAGTGAGGGCAAAACTATTTCCCAGGAGCCCCATTTACTTTCTTTAAGTAAGCCCAAGCGTGCTTGTTAACATAACACCTTCCTGGCTATCCAAGTAGAAAATAAGGAAAGTAACTTGTCTAGTTTCTATTATTATTTTTTTAATTTCAAACATATGCCTTTAGTATGCTTTGTATTTAGATTTACTAGCCTACAGAAATGTAATACAATGTCATTATCTTGTCCTGTTTTATTCTACCAATACTGCCTAAATTACATTAATATTTTATGCCTGTTACTTGTTCATACCACAAAAATTTTGTCAACTAATAACACATCTGTACATATTTTTTACTTCACCTACTTACTCAACCTAGATTTCAACTTCCCTGAATTTCCATATTCAGTTCTTTCAATTTCTCAATTTCGGTACATGCCTTAGACTGGTGAATAAATGTCATCATTCAATAATGACTTTATTACTTGCCTGCTTTAATATCATCTGAACATTTTATAAGCATGTCCTTAAGTTTTTATCTAAATCTGGGATCTAACAATGAGCTTTGAAGCGAATATGTATAGCTTTCATCTGATCCTCAAAGTATTACTGATTATCTGCTTGTCCTACCTTGGCTCACCTCTTACATAAAAACTACAGAATAAGCTAGCAACAAAAACATTTATATAATATGATACAAAGGAGTCCTGTGAGCGTAGCCACTTTAGTAAGTACTGAAGGAAAACCTGGAAATTTGGAAGTATACTTAGTTAACTGAATCTCCACACCAATTAAGACCAATATATGTTACCCTGAATATATGTTTACTGGGGAAAACTAGGTAAACAGTACACGGGAACCCTCAGCATTATTTTTTCAATTTTCAATTTAAAATTATTTCAAAGTAATAAATGGGGGGGGCAGGGGAAGGAGGGAGGATCAAAAGGAGGGAGGTGAAGAACACTAAAAGGTCATTAAAAACCTGTCCTTGTTGGCTTCTTGGACTACCCTCTACTAGATGTCCTTAAGTGAAATGTAGATAAATTATTAGGTACTAAGGACAAATTATCAGGGACTCTATTTGTGGTGCTACAACATGGTTCAGTCAGTTCTATATTTTTAAGGTAATTACACATAATTATTGGGAGAGAACATTTAACCAGTACCAATACCCAACAAGTATCCCACTATACAGATGAATCTCAAACATAACACTAGGCACTAACATAGTATGGAAGTACACTAATTACATAGTGTATCGGAAGTTAGGACAGGGAGAAGGTGACTAGAAGCGGGTATGAAGAGGCCATGAAGGAGGGTTATAATATCCTATGTCCTAATCTTGGTGCTGGTTACACACGTGTTTTCAGTTTCAAATGAAAACATTTATGAATGGTGTACTTTTTTGATACAAGTTGTGGTTCATTAAAAAGATTTTTAAATATTCCTATTACTGAGCATTCAAAAATTATATTACCCAAATTGTAAAATATGTTCTATTATATGGGATAACAAGTATTGGTTAAAAATAGACCCAAGTTTCTTGGAGGATGAACAGAACAAAACAAATTATTTTATACAGTACCCATGCTACTGATATAGAAACATTTAGTGCTAATTCACTTCTAGATTCAAAAATGAAATCTCATAATGTACAATGAAAAGAATGAAAATTTTTTCTAACACAAATACTTGGGTTAAGGATATACTTTTTTTTTTACCCAGTAATTTAAAAACCAGATGTAATTAGATATAAGTGAATAATCTAAATATTTTAACAAAAACCATCAAATATTTACTAAAAGACTTTCTATAAACTTACTTAAGACATTCATTTTAATAACCCAGTTCTTCTATTCTCCAATAATTTCTTTTTAAATAGTGGTGCTACCATAAAAAAGAACAAGCAGACTCAAGGGGATGGTGTACCTAACAATTGCTACTCTTGCTACATTTATGCAATTTCCTCATGAACATGAAAACATTGCAAGTGCTTATCAATGAGAGTAAATTCTTACAAGCTACCTAATTTCTTCCTTTAAAGTTTCTTCTCCCTAGTTCTCCTTCAGCCTTATTGACTTTGAAAGCTGTTTGCTTTTATATTTGAGAGCTGTTTGCTTTTATAGATTCCCAATGAGAGCCTGATCCTCAGTGACTAGCAAGATAGGTTCTAAATTAATTCTGTAGATTTAAGAGAGCTAATAATTGAATTTGCAAAGTTTAAAAAAAGTCATATTTTACAGTTACTGCTCTGAAACACTAACACACGAGAACATCGCTAAAAAATTGACTTTACGACGAGATATATTTCCTAGAAAGTTAATCGTGTAGCTACATTATTCACTATAATAAGTAGGCATTCCTAAGAAGAGGTTGATTATTTTTGAGCTATCTGTGTTGACTGTCCCAATACTTGAAGATAGTTTTACTGATTGATTCCCTGAGGATTTTGCAAGTAGGGAAGTCAGAAACTATGATGGCATATACAGAAAGAGGGAAAAGGCAGCTTGAGAAGAGCTTCAATATTAGTACAATTTAGGAAACCCCTGGATATCCCAGGAGAGAATATCTAAATACACGAAGAGGCAGCTGAGTTGTTGAAAAGCTTTTCAACTTGCTAATTTAAATAGGAAAGGAAATGAAGGACCATTGGGGAATTTTAAATCAATACGAGAAAAATATATCACTTATATTTTGGTTAAAAAGAGACTCAGCCAAACTCAAGGAATCCTTGAGATGGGGGTTGGCGGCGGCCAACCTGAAGCCTGAAATATAATATCTGGCCATACTGACAGGCAAGTTTATGCCTAAAATAAGTAGATTATGTAGTAGATAAAGTAAGGGACTTTCAGTCCCCTAAACTTCTGAATGGATCTAGCAACCACAGTTTTTCTCAACTGAGTACTTAATAAGCTAGTTGAAAAATCAAAAGGAAGCCATTAGTCAATTTCCATTAGGTTGGGGTTGTCACCTTGGTATCAATGGGCCAATTTATAGTGAAAAATGGCTGATCTAAAGATCTAGAATGTAAGTGCTGATTACATTTTGGCATTAACATAGACAAGTAGCCATTAGCTTCTTTGGCTTTGAAGAAGAGAAAATATTTTAACTCATGAAAAACTACAGATAAAGCAACTTGCCTCATTTCTGACACCTTAAAATTTCTGGTATCTATAAAACAAAAATAAAGGAGTATTTAGCTGTAACAACAAATGAGCAGTCAACTTCTTTGTTGTTTTGCAATGAAACAAAGGAAGCCTTTTAGTATTAGAACAGAATTATACAAAATAAAGCTCAAATCTTTTTATGCTGCTTTGAGAAAATAATGTATGTATTCACGCTGCTATGGCAGCTTGTCAAAATTAGATATTTGAAAACTCATTACATTTCAAAATAGAGTGCTAATTTTCCCTTTTTCTTCAGATGAAGTATAGATGCATCCTAAAGTATTCATACTCTGACTACACCCAGTAAGCTATTTGAATAATTAAACCTTCATGCTTGTTTCATGCTGTAATTTACATTTACATATTAATTTGTACTACTAGCAGAAATACCTAAAAACTGATTTTATAAACTTGGTGCTACAAATTTTAAACATAAAGTTCAAAAAGTGACTGTTTAAAAACACCTTTGGTGAAGTATTTTTGTGTTAAGGGATACACCATCTAAAGGTACTTTGTTAGAGAATACCTTTAGAGTACAACACACACAAGCAAATCACGCCTAAGGATTAAAAGAAAGTCTTACTGTTTTTAGGCAATATAGATCATGTCTTAATATGATATGTACATGCACTTAGCAATACTTTTTCTAATAAGATGGAGCAGATTGTTATCCAAAACTATACCAAAAGACACAAATGCATTGCCAGGCAGAGTAAAAGAATCTAACAAGCTTTGTGTGAAATTTAAAAACATTGCTTGTGCTCAACTTTTGTTAATTAAACATAGAATGATGTAGTGCTAACAAATAAATATTCAGCAAAAATAATTGAACAGAGCATACACTCACTTAAAATATATGCTAAGCAGAAAGATAAACCAAAGTATCTTTTCTCAAAAATCACCTCTGAAACTATTCTGTATTTTTTAATGTTGAAAGTAAAATATGTAGATTTCTGTGAGAAAGCAAACTGTTTTGGGGCTTAGCAAATCAGTAATGTATATCTAATGAACTCCATAGAACCAACTTGGATATTTGAACGTCTCATCAAAAATTAAACAATGACTACTCTGATACCTTGGTCTTGTCTTTCCTCCAATTTTAAAATTTGAAATAATATTTTGTTTTACGTTATCATGGCTTTTACATAGAAATCATATAGAATAGCACAAAATTAAAATTACTACAGAAATATGTTTTTGATTAAAATAAGTGGTTATTTAATATAAGATTCACACACAGAACATATAAATCCTTCAAAAAAAATAAATATAAAGTGCACAAAATTCAGTTAAAAAAAAATGTTTATAAAATATATATACTGTCCTTTTGGTTTATTTTGCTGCTTTGTCCCATGCTAGATACCATGTGATTTTCCCTCTTAAAACAGCAAAGATCAGTTTTATGCAAAGCAATTCATGCATACATTTTTGCATGTATGCATTCCATATGTAAGTATTCATACCTATCCCAGAGGCTCTTTGATTCCTGAAACGTGTTCAAATGGAACGCTTGGTAGAAAGCAGTTGAAGGATTCCTGTGAGATCCGAGAATCAAATGGAAATGAGGTTGAGAATATACAGTAAAATCACTACTTTAAAAAAAAAAAAAAGAAGGAAAATTTTAGATTTCTAATACAGTGCAACTGCTTTATTGAAAATAAAAAGAAAAAAGCATATAAAGTTGTTAAAACACTTTGAAAGAAATTAAAAACTAGACAAAAATCCAATAGACTCCAACAATAATTCAGGATCAATTTTCTAAAAGGGGTAATAGATAAAACTTTAAATGTTAGTTAGCATCCAGTTGTGACATTGTGTTTATGTATGAATGTGACTAGTCTACAGCCCATCATTTGCCTTTTAAATATAATATCTACTAGTCTAGCAGTTTAATAAAGCTATTCTTAAGTGTTCATGTAAAATGTTAAGTCATACCTTTCTCAGAATATGCTGAAGTGGGAAGTATTTGAGAATGAACAAGAATCCTTTCCTGGGTTGGACTTGACACATTTCTACCTTCAGAATTCTCATATTTACATGTGGTTTTTCTCTGGGCTGGTGCAAAAACTTTGGTTGCAACGGCAGCTTTCTAGCTTGCATTAATACAACACCCCTTTAAAAGGTAAAAGCTTATTTACAATAACTATCATTCACTTTTACCATTCTGGCTAACAGCACAGAATCCTAACTGATGGCTCACCTGGGCAAGTCCCAGTATGTATGATTCTCCTTGTTTCAGGACTAGTTTCTTAGGGAACAAAACCTTTGACAAACCAGCTTCTTAATAGTTCACCCTCCTCTTCAGCATGGTTCTAGTCTCCCTAACCACCAACTTGTACTTTAGGGGAGCTAACAAATATCTGTCACATCATTTTTACAATTCTTGATCCTTTCTGCAGCAGAATAGCAGCATCTAACAATGTAAATGTTTATTGCACAAGAGACCCTGTTCTAAGTGCTTTATGTTTATTAGCTCAACTTTTGCAACAGCTCTACCTAAAAGGTCTAAGATTTATATATTCCTATCTCACAGATCAGAAAATTGGATCCAACAGAAGTAATCTGCCTAATGCCATAGACCTAGAAAGGTAATCTGGTTCCAAAGTTTACGTTCTTAAACCATTAAGTTAAACATGTAGCAGCACTAAATTTTGACTTCTTTAAATCTCTGTTAACAGCCCCTCAGGATGACTGAAGAATTGAGACAATACCTAAATCTCTTGGAATACAGTCAATGCTCAACAGCTATCATTTTGTATACAAAATGACACAAATGTAATTCTGAGGCCCTAATAATGTGCATTTAGAAATTCTGCAGAATTATGGGTACAGTTAGAAAACTATTTCTAAGGTCTACTGCAAGAGTACTCAAGTATCAGTGATCATCAAGACAAATGCACAACAGAACTCTGATTTCAAAACTCAGATGAAGGCTAATTAAGTTGTGTAATGTAACTGTACTTAGAAGTCAGTCTGCCAAATCAAATGAAAACCAGCTGAACCAACTGGAAACTCAACTGGGTTTTTTTTTTTCCCCCTTTTTTTAAACCAGGCCTGCGTAGGACCATATGGGAACTAGTTTGATGTCCTCACAGGTCTGTTTAGAAACCCTAACTTTAGACAGAATGACTCAAAGAGTTAGGTAGTAAATACTTCCCTTCAAAGTAAACTTAGAAATTTATTCTCCAAGTCTGGAATTAAAAATTCATAAACAACTTTAAAGATGCTCAAATATGAGGATGACATTTAAATAAAAAAACACTTCAGATTTTGGCCAATTTATCTGCCAAATAAATTGGTTTTAATAAAGTCATATGACTTAAATTACGGAATTCTAGCATTTCTTAGCATAACAGCAAAATTTCTCTTATAAGTTAAATGTAAAGTGGAAAAAAGAACATATCTACAGTGTGAAAAGAACCTACAAAATGAAATAATCAATGAACTTATCTTTAAAATGTCAAGAATATTGCAAAAGCTGAAAATTAACACTTATTCTATATATACTCAAAATGAAGAAGGCATTTGGAGTTATACAGTCTATTTACCATAGAAAACTTAAAAATAGTCTAGATTCTAAAGATAAAAAATTTAGAGTGCCTACTTATGAGACATGAGATTTTGGAATGGAATGAAGGTAAGTGACAAGAGTGCTTGCCTAACATGCACAATTCTAGCAGGCACTGGTGAAAAGAAAAAAAGCTTTTTTGGTTGTTGTTCCTGGAATACTACTTCAAGTAAAATGTTACCCATAAACTGAGTGTCCCCCTTCCTATTTTTAAAGCAAGTAGCAACACTTTAGATCAAAATATTAACAGGCGTAGATAAAAGATTTCAAATCTCTGAGACCTAGCTTATCAAGAAATCTAAGGGAAAAAGAGAAAAAGAGCCATTTGTAAATACTAACAGGCCTGATCATCAGACTTCTGTTTTGAAATGGCATAAAAATTGAGAGGATTGGGCTGGGGTTGTAGCTCAGTGGTAAAGCACTTGCCCAGCATGCGTGAGGCACTGGGTTGGATCTCCGGCACCACATAATAATAAATAAATAAACAAATAAAATAAAGGTAACATGTCAAAAAATGAGGGATTAAGAGTCCAAGGAAAACTGTTAATAGGATCATTTCATAGTTACAGTCTATTAAACCCAAAAATATCAAAAGGTAACTGAAATGTAAAAATTTATTTAAAAAATATTGAACTTTATATAGTTTGGCCACAAACTGTCTTCTGTCCAAGAAACAAAATTTGAAACCAGTTTCCTAACCATTCTAAATACAGAACCAACAAGCAATTCTTAGGACGACTGTGGTGTTTCAACTACCTAAATGAAAATATTGATTTCCTAGTTGGAGCCATTTTCAAAATCGTTGAACAAAATATATTCTTCCTTGACTTTATATACTAAATGGTCTATCACGACTATTCAAAGTACATGAAAATAGGGCATCAGAAAATGACACAAAACACTTTAGTAAGACACTATCTTTGTCAGATAACTATGACAGGGAGGGAAAAAAAAATACACACATATCCACACTGTAGAACAAAGCTACAAAAGTTGATGAGGCTTCAAAGGATATGTGAGTCCTGAACTCAGTGAACATTTTCGTTTATTTATGTCAAAATTCAACTTCAGAGACTCTTTGAATAGAAACCAGGGAAATACAATAAGCAGATGATAAACAAGGGCCACTTCGATATTACTATCTAGGGATTATAAATGGTTAAAAATATCCTTTAGATAAAGGGTTACAACACAACACATCAGTGGCTACAGTAACTTTCCCTTCCTCCCAGTATCTCATCCTCTGCCAAGTAATAAAAGCAAAAACTTCCAACTCTGGAAACACACAAGAGCACTAGTGTGGAGGTTGAAGACCTAAGCAAGAGACTATGCTTTATCACTTAACAGCCATGTGTTTCAAACTTCCAGAGCCTGGACTTTCCTAATCTGTTAAGGGAAAGGAGGAGGGCAGGAGGAAGAAAGCACTTCTTTACAGGTTACTACAAAAATCAAATAAGATTATGCATACAGAGAGCCAGACACTATTAAGCTTGGTTTGTGTTTAATATAGGGCTATGGTTTCCAAATTATGTTGTATAAAAAACAACTTTTAGTAGAGTATCTTAACATATACCAAATGTTTCATCTCCATCAAGGTAATACCCAGGCAAACAATAGTTAAGTTTAGAACTAGGTATATCAAAGTATGTAACACATTCCACTGAGTATTTTAATTTGGGGGACTCAGTGCATCTCCATGTACTCCCAAAACATAATTCTGTTGCAAGATTTTAATTTAAAATACAATGATCACTGAAAGGAGTGTTGAAATGGCTACAAAATAAGTATTACTTGAACAATAAAAGCTTCAAGAAACACATTTAATAGCAACCAAAATCTTATAAAAATTTAAATTTATCTAGATTGTAAGCCTTTCATTCTGGTTCCGGTCAAGTTAATCAAATCATTTTTCAAAATGACAAATTTTTACTCTTCCATGTCATTGCACAAGCTGCCCTTTCCCTTAGTTTGGAAAAGCATCCCTTTCTCTTATCAGTAACCTAATCTAAATGACCCTTTTAAGATTTCAAGAGTGGGTCTCAGAAACATGCACATATAATGATTTGACTCTGAGAATACAAACTAGATGTCAGAAGAAGAGAGGTGGCAGAGAGCTTTCAATTTTTCCTTTTGCATATTTTGAACTATATAAATATATACTTATACAAAGAATAACTTATAAACAGAAGTTAGTCTAATACCTCGTAATTGTTAAATGACTTGATGTTTTAAACTGTCCCCATTAGCACCTTATATTTAGAGTCTACAATGTATATATCAACATATATATATGATAATCACTTTCATATAGCTTGAGATCTTGGAAAACGGGAGTCTTATTTTTGTATCTCAGTGCTTACTATTCAGAAAATACAATGAAAAATGAATGATTGACATATTGTTACTTTAATGTTTACTTAGACATTCAATCTGCTGAATGAATATTTGCAAATCTCATTTACTATCACACAATGGTCCTGTGACCAAAAAAAAAAAAAAAAAAGAAAAGGTTTAAAACAAGAGAAAGGTTTAAACTAGCAGCTCTCTCATGAAGCTTATCTTGTTAACTCAATAGAGCTAGAAGGAATCTTAAAATCTGAGCCCTTAAGTCTAGCTTTACCAATAAGGAAAATTGAGAGAAGTTAAAGAACTTGACCAAAGAAACCAGCAAAGTTGTGGCAGAGCCAAGTTTAGAACACAATTTGCTGCCAGATGTAGTGGCAAATGTCTGGAATTCTCAGCAACTCAGGAGGCTGAGGCAGGAGGATCACAAGTTCAAGGTTAGCCTCAGCAACTTAGCAAGACCTTGTCTCAAAATAAAAAGTGAAAAGGTCTTAGGATATAGCTCTGAGGTCAAGTGCCCCTGGGTTCAATTCCAGTTCCAAAAGTGGGGAGGGGGGGGAGAATGGGAACACCACACTTTGTTATACTTCTTACTACCTCATGACCTTACTGGCCTAAAACATC